TGTAATATCATTTAAAAATGTTTTAATGATTGCCGGTGTAAAATGAATCAAGAAAACCAAAGTCGTAATATTTCACACTGTAAATCACCAAAAGTGCACACACCAGTGAATAACATAATGCCTCCTGGCCACAAACCTTCCATTAGATGTCATATTATTATCAATCAGCTTTTAAGGGTTTCATCGTTAGTGCAGTGCAGTATTGGGGCGTGAAGTGCCAATAAATATAAACAATATTGATGATATCAAAACCATTCCTTCTGACATCAGCTGAATTGTTGTTGCCAGAATGTCAATAAACGAAATTTGTATGGTGTAGTCCAACATTTGTGGTATTGTTGATACTTTGCTACGGAGAAATTATCTTATATTTGGTGATCTAAATACAAAGTACCAACTTTAATTTCCTTTGTAATTGGTGTTCTTCATGCATACAGTGCCATCCAAACGTATATATATATGATCTTCAAATGATAGATGAATTAGAAAAACATACATTAGTAAAACTACATTTATAGAAAGTTTAACTCATACGTTTCTATAAAATGCAAAATAGACCTTTGACTCCTGCTAAACTTTTGGTAGAATGATATGTTACACCTTAAAAGGTCGCCTGCGGTAGTCGCGCACGGTAGCTGATGACAAACGGCAGGTCTTTAAGTCAAAGCTATATATCATTATCGTTGATTGTGAAAAATCGCATACATATCGCCAGTGAACTGCACCCACATTTTCACCATTTTGTGAGGCGAGGTCAGGTGATGAAATTGGTTTGTCGCTTGAGAATATTTCGTTTATATGTTATCTCACATATTTCGCCTTATAGTTATCTCTACTTATTGAAAAAACTTGATATGGTGACAGGAACCGATAAATTCGAGGACATGCTAAGCTGCCCTAATCCCTGTGTAATATCCCCAAAACAACAATGCTTTATTGACAATATATAGAACAATAATAATACTTATTGACTTCGGACTTGCATCGTACGATAGGTGGAAAACCTGAGCAGCCATGACCACGGTGTAATAAGGTCAGGGTGGTGCCTTGAATTGTGGAGCAGTACCGGAAGTATAGGATTAATATGTTGCATGTCAACACACGATAGTATCTCAGCACCTAGAAACACATGTCAGGATGCTACGGTAATTTGTCAACACACGATAGTATCCTCAGCACCTAGAAACACATGTCAGGGTGTCAATACATGGCGGTATGTCACACGATAGTATCCTCCCAGCACCCAGGAAACACACATGTCAGATGTCAATACATGGCAATATGTCAACACACGATAGTATTCAGCACCTAGAAACAATACATGTGAGGGTGTCAATATGGCACAGTCAACACACGACTGTATCCTGTAAAGCACTTAGGAAACACATGTCAGTGTCAATATACGGTACGATATATCTCCAGTCGGGTGTCAATACATAAGTAATATGTCAACACACACGATTGTATCGTTAACTTAGAAACATTAGCGTCAGGGTGTCAATACATGGCAATATGTCAACACACGATAGTATCTCAGCACTTCAGGAAACACGTGTCAGGCGTCAATACATGGCAGTATCAACACACGACAGTATCCTCCTTCAGCACTTAAAACACATGAGGGCAAGTCAATACGACGGCAATATATGTCAACACACCGATAGTATCCTCAAAGACTTTAGAAAACACATGTCAGGTTGTCAATACAGTATGTCAACACGTCAGTATCTGAGCACTTCTGTGGTAATACGTCAGGGTACAATACATGGTGGCAGGTCAACACGACAGTATCTCGTAGCACTTAGAACACGTGTCAGGGTGTCAATACACGGCAGTATTTCAACACACGATTGTATCCTCAGCACCTAGAAACACATGTCAGGGTGTCAATACACGGTCAACACACGATAGTATCTCAGCACCTAGAAACACGTCAGGGTGTCAATATATGGCAGTATGTCAACACACGACATTATCCCAGAGCACCTAGGAAACTACGCGTCAGGATGTCAATACATTGCAGTGCATGTCAACACAATGACAGTATCTCAGCACCTTAGGAAACACATGTCAGGATGTCAATACATTAGTCCAGTCATCCCGGTTAGATTTTGACCTAACCCACCACAAATTGCAAATAAGAAATAATCAACTGTTTTAAGACCTTGAACCATTCCTTTATAACATCATACAAAAAGGCAGGGAAAAATCTCAAAAGTGGAACAAGGTCAAAGTCGACCCCTCATGGGCATAGGGCTCATCTTCGCTTCTGAAATCTTAGATAGAATGCATTTTGGAATCAACTCAATTGCCAGCGTCAGCGTTATATAATCAAATTAGAGCTCAGATTACAGGCTTTTCAGAAATATTGGTTTCTATTGTGGGATTAGTTCCATCATATTGTTCTTATTTTAAAAAATATCTCAAAAATTGAAAAACGTATCCCGACATCCACATGCATATTTATGTTACGATTATGCCAAAACTTCTTCAGTTTTCAATTCACCCGTGATACTTGTTATCAAGGAAGACATATATTGTGATGAATATGTACTAACCAATAGTCATTCCAAATAATAATGATATAGAATGAACGATCAATACATATATTGACACACACTCATCACGTACAATGATGAAAAACAGGTCATTTTATGATTGAAAGTTATGTAAGAGAGGTGTTCATTACTCAACTTCATGGAATATCAATATTTCATTATGAATCAATTGGCATTCATTAGCTAATCTTGTTTTGACAGAACGGCCAGCCATGTCTTTCAAAAATTATTTTACAACAGTTCTGAAAGACCAGACATGCACAACCATTTTAATGTACCTCGCAATGTAAGGGAGTATCCTAATCCATGTCTTCTATGCATCTTTGAAAGAGCTATTTGTTTTACAGCTGTATATGATAATTGTCAATGTCTTTGGGAGCTGGGAAGATCTTCGTTGTTGTCCTTACACTTCTTTTCCATCCCCAATCTGTCAACCAAGGATGGCACTTCCTTCACTTTGAATTCAAGAAAGTAAACCCGCGACTGTTGCAGACCGATCGGCTGTTGATGGTGGCGGACGATTCTGAGGATAAACATGCATCTGGCTTGAGGCTATTTTTCTCATTAAAAAACGTCTGTAGTCTGAGTAAGTTCAGAATTTCACCTGTTTCCATACAGGAGACAAACCATGGCCTTCCTCCAGCTTCAATGAAACAAGTGTTCTGCTGTTCATACAACTTTGGTGGATTCTTGATGTCGCATCACAGCCTAAGACAGGATGTATGAACAAGAATGCTTCTATGCTCTAGGTTTCGCTGATGTTCAAAAAAATTCTTTCAAAGAACTTTTCTTGGGGGTTGACTGGCAAGCAAGAAGATATCACGCGATTCCAGGATTTGTGTCACCAGCAGGATCCGGAGTCGTCCCCGATGACAACTGTTGGTGACTGGCATACAAGTGAAACTGCTGCTTAGAACTATCAATACAACAGCAGCATCTACCCAGTGGCTTCTGAACTGCGTAAATACATCCTTTAGCTTCTAGATAGGAGCCTCATACCATGACGAACTGTTCTTTTGGTCTCAAACCACCTGGCGTGGAATGACTTTTCTTTGATTGTAAAATCATACTCTCATCAAATTTTAACCAAATTTTAAGTCCACCAGTTCGTCTCATTTGTATGTTGTATACTGTGTATATGCAACTTGAGTATCCATCGCTGAACACTACAGTATCTCTGTCATAGTGTGGTTTTGACATATGTGCAGCAGCATGCATGCAATAAGTCAGTGCAAAGATACTCCACTCGGCCAAGGTAGGTAGAGTATGCGCGCGAAGCAAAACCTCTCCATCGAGAACACACACAGCATCAGAACTGGACCAGGGGAAACCACCATCATCCAACATGTTGATATGAATGAAGCCAGGGCAGGTGTGTTTTGCTCCTTCAGGAAAGAGGTGGAGAATCAAACAGTGCAGGTGGAGGAACTTCGTAAAAGTCCAAACTTTTAGCAAAAATTCGAAGTTGTGTGTTGACTGGCCATCGGCAAACCTCTTTGAAAACAATAAAACTGGATCAATGCTGCAAATTTCTTCATCTTGTGGTGTGTAAATAGGTTTCTTTGGATCATTTGTAGTTGCTTCTGGATCTTTTTGTCACTTGAAGCTGCCAATGGTAGTGCTTGGTTTATTCCCAAAATAGAGCTACCAACACAACATGCTAGCATCATCTACATTCACAGTTGCACCTGCGACAACCTGCTTGAAATGTTTTAACAGGATTTTGTTTTGAATGGGTCTCTGTCTTGAAATGACATGGAGAAGTTTCATGGCATCATTCCTGTCTCTCTCTCCGTCTTTACATTAGGACATGTCCCTTGGCTTGTTCAGAGTTTCCCTAAGGTTTTCACACTACTTGCAAAATCACCGCTTTTATTTTGCTGACTTCCGCATGATGCGGCATTGACATGGCGCCATGTAAACCTCTCAGGTTTTCAGAGACATGCCCTCGTCCCCTTGTAAGTCCTCTCCATTTGTTCTTGTAATGTTCTGTATTACGAGCACCTGTTCAATCATCACAAGATCTGGTTGGAAAATCCTCCCCCACAACAAATTAGCGCAGCAGATAAATACGATGACATGGAGCTGAAGAGTTCAGTTGTCTTGGGGGTGCGTGTAAGGTCTTGGCAGGAGGCTTCAATAATATTACAGGCTGCACAACCGAACTAGACTGCAAGTACAAGTTATGCTACGCCAGCTGCTGCAAATAATGGCAACATGTCAGCAATATAACATCTTTAGGTGCATCTTCCACTTCCAAATCTTTCAGCTTTACATGAAAATCCGTAAGATATCCCACCATGTCTACCATGTACTGATCCAAAGTTTGTTGTCTTCATATTGCTTTAGCGCATCGTTATCTTGGATTTAACACGATGGTGAATGCTTTCTAGTGTCTTTTTGAACGATAGTTTCACCAACAGTCAAGGATTCACCACTCACCAGCTCATTGTATGGCACTGTCGTCATGTTGAGATCCTCATCATCAGTGTCAGGAAGGGGAGAGGCAAGGTCAGCTTCATCATCAGGTGTACGGAAGCTAGGAAGGCTGGCATTAAAAGTTCTTAATACCAACAGACCATTGAGAGCTGTGTCTACAAGAAAGTGAGCCTCGAATAGCTCTGGCAACAGCTTCCCCGTTAGTATGCTTGACTAACTGTGCTACTCGGCTAAGTATATATCAGAAGTTCAAACAGACCCGGATCCAGACACATGATGATTCGGCCCATCCCTAGGACGACGTTCTTCAAAACACTTGATGAAGGCTCACTGGAAATTATCATTGAAGCTTTCCCAGCGCACAGAGAGGCTGATCCCAAATTAAGCGGACGTTTGGTGTGACACATTGTTTTTCATCCGCTTTGTGACAGATTGGGGATGGAAAAGAGATGGCAAAAGGATCCTATCCTTGTACGTGATGAAATTGTCATTGTGTCAATATAAGACATTGATCGTTCATTCTATTTCATTACTTCATTATTATTTGAAAGACTATTGGTTGATACATATTCATCACAATATTTCTTCATGATAACAATTGTCACACAATTGAAAACTGAAAGTTTTCGCAATAATCGTATATTTCTGAAAAGCCTGTAATCTGAGCTTTAATTTGATATATAACATGACACAATTGTGAGTTGATTGCCAAAAAGTTTACATTTCTATCTAAGATTTCGAAAGCGAAGATGAGCCCTATGCCCTTTGAGGTCGCATTTGACCTTGTTCCACCACTGAGATTTTCCTAGACATTTTATATGTTATAAAGGGAATGGTTTAGGGTCTTAAAACAGTTAAAAATCATTTCTGTTGCAATTTCAGATGGGTATTCTCATAAATTGACATGGCAATATGTCAACACGACAGTATCTCAGCACCTAGAAACACATGTCAGGGTGTAAATAAATTGCAGCATGTCAGTATCTCAGCACTTAGAGACACATGTCAGGATGTCAATACATGGCAGTATGTCAACACACGACAGTATCTCAGCACCTAGAAACACATGTCAGGGTGTCAATACATGGCAGTATGTCAACACACGATAGTATCTCAGCACTAAGAAACACATGTCAGGATGTCAATACATGGCAGTATGTCAACAAAAGACAGTATCTCAGCACCTAGAAACACATGTCAGGGTGTCAATACATGCAAGGCAATATGTCAACACTCGACAGTATGTCAGCACCTAGAAACACATGTCAGGATGTCAATACATGGCAATATGTCAACACACGATAGCAGTATCCTCAGCACCCAGAAACACATGTCAGGGTGTAAAATAAATTTCAACATGTCAGTATCTCAAAGCACTTAGAGCGCACGTGAATTTCCCTGCACATGGAGGATTGTCAACATTCGACAATATATCAAATGCAGTTTGAGACTGTTAGCATAAGACGTGTTTACTGCGATCACCTAAAACGTACTACTTTGCTTTTAAAAGTTGACTGATGTAGTGTATTGGCTAGAAGTAGTTGTGACACTAATCCCATGTACATCGTATCAGGAGTACCGCATTTCTGATTACGTCATCTACATGTCACGCGAATGATGAAGTCATGTAGGGTGAGCTAGCCATCTTGCATTAAACTACGAAGTTTGTCTCTCTCGTTGCGATATAGTGCACATGGTGTAAGGAACACCCCCACACTAGGTACATTACAACTGCAAATGATTTTAAACCATTGAAAACGCAAATGAATTCTCTGGCAGATGTCTTTAAGGGCTGTTTTACATATTTAGTATTCATAAACACCTATAGCCATAGTCTTCGTTATATGAATGGATCACTGAAAAGCACCAGGTGTTCGCAAAAGGCGAAATGCATGTCCTATGAACTCTCGCAATCCACACAATGTGCATAAAAAAGGTGTTTATTTCGGATGCCGCACAGGTACACTGCTGACCATTGGAGAATCAAACCCGGTCCGTCAGTGTAACACGTGAACGATTTATCCACTACCCACCGCCTTAACACGGCGCTGAACGGTTATGCAATATGTACACTTAGTGAGTAATGGTGTGTACAATTACAGGTGCAACGTGTTTATCAGTGCCTGTCTACAGTCGGTAATTAACAGGAATGTTTAACATAGCCCAAATTAAATCTACTCCAAACGAGTTCATATAGTGTGTTATTAGTGGCAGAACTTTATGTGTTTTGTAACTCATTTCACTCGTTAAACATACGCCCTAAAACAACCCTGGAACATTCTTTTATTCCCTGTTGAATGTGACAAAGGCTTCAACATGATCCTGGTTCCTAGCATTTACAAATAACAGCGTCACCCGCTTTCATGCCCCATTGCTGATAGTGCATGTTGCTCGGGCGGTTATATTCCATTAACGGCTTTGTTTGTCCGCATTGTTAAACAGGCTTCCTGGATACGGATTGTCCTTGTACTGTAAAATCTCAATATATTAATCAGTTGCATTAATGGTACCTTCAGTCTCCATAATGATACTATAGTGTCAGACTGGTTATTCATATGATGTCCGTGCGCTTCAGATTACCATGCATTAGAAAGCAGGGTATGGTTTCAATACCTTACTTGATGTACTGTCCACAGGTGACGTCTGAAACGGTCTCAGATATCAGGGGATTTGTGTGGAGTTTAACACCGTGAAAAGACGAATGATATCCGATACATTAGAACAAGGGAAAACCTTTTCAATTGTTATGGTAGTTTTAGTGGAGGTCATGCTTACTCTTTCAGCGACCACCGGGCGTCATGGCCGATTTTCAGTATCCATTCAAATATGTACACAGGTTTTAAGAAGGGTTTTCTGCTTTTCCGATTCGTAGGTATCCAGGTTATTCTCTGGCGTTGACATTTTATATTTACATGGTGGACAGTCGTTACTGGTTTTTTTGAAATGTTACAATATAGCTAGACACACGGATAATTAATCATCAGCCAGTGATATGTCATTTCGCATCAGTGATACACTGTCATGTAGAAGCCTTCGCATCAGTGATACACCGTCATGTAGGAAGTCTACCATCAGTGATACAATGTCATGTAGGGAGCCTTTACCAACAGTGATACAGTGTCATGTAGGAAGCCTTTACCAACAGTGATACAGTCATGTAGGTCGCTTCCAGCCTTTACCAACAGTGATACAGTGTCATGTAGGGAGCCTTTGTCATCAGTGATACACTGTCATGTGGGAAGCCTTTACCAACAGTGATACAGTGTCATGTAGGAAGCCTTTACCAACAGTGATACAGTGTCATTTAGGAAGCCTTTACCAACAGTGATACAGTGTCGCAATGACAGGAAGCCTTTACCAACAGTGATACACTGTCATGTAGTGAGCCTTTACCAACAGTGATACAGTGTCATGTAGGAAGCCCTTTACCAACAGTGATACAGTGTCATGTAGGGGAGCCTTTGTCATCAGTCAATACACTGTCATGTAGGAAGCCTTTACCAACAGTGATACAGTGTCATGTAGGGAGCCTTTGTCATCAGTGATACACTGTCATGTAGGAAGCCTTTACCAACAGTGATACAGTGTCATGAAGGAAGCCTTTGTCATCAGTGATACAGTGTCATGTAGGAAGCCTTTACCAACAGTGATACAGTGTCATGTAGGATACCAACAGTGATCATGTCAGGAAGCCTTTACCAACAGTGATACAGTGTCATGTGGTGAGCCTTTACCAACAGTGATACAGTGTCATGTAGGAAGCCTTTACCAACAGTGATACACTGTCATGTAGGAAGCCTTTACCAACAGTGATACAGTGTCATGTACAGGATACAGTGTCATGCCTTTAGGATACAGTGTCATGTAGGAAGCCTTTACCAACAGTGATACAGTGTCATGTGGTGAGCCTTTACCAACAGTGATACAGTGTCATGTAGGAAGCCTTTACCAACAGTGATACACTGTCATGTAGGAAGCCTTTACCAACAGTGATACAGTGTCATGTGGTGAGCCTTTACCAACAGTGATACAGTGTCATGTAGGAAGCCTTTACCAACAGTGATACAGTGTCATGTAGGAAGCCTTTACCAACAGTGATACAGTGTCATGTAGGATACAGTGTCATGTAGGATACAGTGTCATGTAGGAAGCCTTTACCAACAGTGATACAGTGTCATGTGGTGAGCCTTTACCAACAGTGATACAGTGTCATGTAGGAAGCCTTTACCAACAGTGATACACTGTCATGTAGGAAGCCTTTACCAACAGTGATACAGTGTCATGAAGGAAGCCTTTGTCATCAGTGATACAGTGTCATGTGGTGAGCCTTTATCAACAGTGATACAGTGTCATGTAGGATACAGTGTCATGTAGGAGCCTTTACCAACAGTGATACAGTGTCATGTGGTGAGCCTTTATCAACAGTGATACAGTGTCATGTAGGATACAGTGTCATGTAGGCAGCCTTTACCAACAGTGATACAGTGTCATGTGGTGAGCCTTTACCAACAGTGATACACTGTCATGTAGGAAGCCTTTACCAACAGTGATACAGTGTCATGTGGTGAGCCTTTATCAACAGTGATACAGTGTCATGTAGGATACAGTGTCATGTAGGGAGCCTTTACCAACAGTGATACAGTGTCATGTGGTGAGCCTTTACCAACAGTGATACAGTGTCATGTAGGAAGCCTTTACCAACAGTGATACAGTGTCATGTAGGAAGCCTTTACCAACAGTGATGCAGTGTCATGTAGGGAGCCTTTACCAACAGTGATACAGTGTCATGTAGGGAGCCTTTGTCATCAGTGATACACTGTCATGTAGGAAGCCTTTACCAACAGTGATACAGTGTCATGTCATGTAGGGAGCCTTTGTCATCAGTGATACAGTGTCATGTAGGAAGCCTTACCAACAGTGATACACTGGTTTGTACGAAGCCTAGCATCGGTTATACACCCTCATGTAGGAAGCCTTTACCAACAGTGATACACCGTCATGTCGGAAGCCTTTACCAACAGTGACACACTGTCATGTAGGACGCCTTTACCATCAGTGATACACCGTCATGTCGGAAGCCTTTACCAACAGTGATACACCGTCATGTCGGAAGCCTTTACCAACAGTGATACAGTGTCATGTAGGAGCCTTTACCAACAGTGATACAGTGTCATGTAGGAGCCTTTGTCATCAGTGATACACTGTCAGTGAGCCTTTACCAACAGTGATACAGTGTCATGAAGGCCTTTACCAACAGTGATACAGTGTCATGTAGGAAGCTATTACCAACAGTGATACAGCGTCATGTCGGAAGCTATTACCAACAGTGATACACCGTCATGTCGGAAGCCTTTACCAACAGTGATACAACGTCATGTAGGAAGCCTTTACCAACACTGGTACAGTGTCATGAAGGAAGCCTTTACCAACAGTGATACACTGTCATGTAGGAAGCTATTACCAACAGTGATACAGTGTCATGTAGGAAGCTTAGCAACAGTGATACACCGTCATGTAGGAAGCCTAGCAACAGTGATACAGTGTCATGTAGGAAGCCTAGCAACAGTGATACAGTGTCATGTAGGAAGCCTTTGTCATCAGTGACACACTGTCATGTAGGAAGCTATTACCATCAGTGATACGCTGTTATGTAGGAAGCCTTTGTCATCAGTGACACACCGTCATGTAGGAAGCCTTCACTAACAGTGATACACTGTCATGTAGGAAGCTATTACCATCAGTGATACGCTGTTATGTAGGAAGCCTAGCAACAGTGATACACTGTCATGTGATAAGCGTTTGTCAGCAGTAAAACACAGTCGAATAGGAACAGCCTTTATGTGCACCAGTTATGTAGAGTTGCTGCCGATGATGGTGATGATGATGATGATGATGATGATGATGATGATGATGATGATGATGATGATGATGATGATGATGATGATGATGATGATGATAATGGTGCGATGGGTCATGCAATATGCTCATACCTATCTCACATACTATTTCTATTCGAAAGTACAAATTTGCCGAGTCTAAATATCCCATATGATGTTTCAGATAAAACAAAAACAGACTAAAACGCAAACAGAATCATACTGGTTCCATCACGATCAGGCGGGTCTCCTGTTTGATCAAGTTTGGTGACGAATGGCTTTAATGGACAATTCGGCTTCACTGTATGCTGCCCTAAGTAAGAGTGTATATTGATAATTCCATTATGAACCCGTCCCTGAATTACAATGTCAGACACACTGTAAACATTGTGCTCATTATTTAAACAACCAGTGGGACGAATAACGTTACATAATGCGCATATTGAACGGTCTGAATGTATTTAACTTCACTGCATGTTTGAAGCAAAACAATTCCATGAATGTAGTCAAATGTGTCTGATAAATGAATAATTACTCAACAATGAATTGTTGAAAGGTGTTAAAACTATTGTTTGTTTAATTTCTTTCAGAAGCGGGATACATATATTTGTTTGGGGGCGAAATTGGGTCTATATGAAGCTTTCTCACTGACTGATATTATCGAAGCATTTTTCAAAATCATTTGATGTAACTGATCAGTTCGATGTCAGGACAAAATGTTTGAATAATATTTTAACGACCGTTAATCAACGGAAGTAATCAAATATTATCAGCACATCCACGTATGATGGGGCGGTGGGGATAGCCTAGTGGTTCGTCACGCCGAAGACCCGGGTTCGATTCCCCACATGGTACAATGTGTGAAGCCCATTTTGTGGTGTCCCCCGCCGTGATATTGCTGGAATATTGCTAAAAGCGGCGTAAAACTAAACTCAACGTCAGGCGGGGTAACAATAAGTACCATTTTTAACGTACTTTGGGATGAGTTGGTCATCGAATCATTGGTACAGACACAACAGGACTCTATTCACTCATCCTGGCACAGTCAGGCTGATTGAGATCGTCAGCTCAGGGACCTTGCCCTTCTACACGCAGCCCAAACCAATTCGGACTTCTCCCAGGAAGCGCTTCCCAGTCGAACCATCAAGAACTTTTCGGAGGAAGTGAACACTCTCCAAAACAACAACCTTCTGCATGTCCCAGAGATGCTGAAGAGATTTGCTCCAAGTGGGGAGCCCCGGTACGCTCCCTTATTGAGTGAGTGAGTGAGTGAGTGGAGTGAGTGAGTGAGTGAGTGAGTGAGTGAGTGAGTGAGTGGAGTGAGTGAGTGAGTGAGTGAGGAGTGAGTGAGTGAGTGAGTGAGTGAGTGAGTGAGTGAGTGAGTGAGTGAGTGAGTGAGTGAGTGAGTGAGTGAGTGAGTGAGTGAGTGAGTTTAGTTTTACGCCGCTTTTAGCAATATTCCAGCAATATCACAGAAATGGATTCACACATTTTACCCAGATGGGGAATCGAACCCGGGTTTTCGGCGTGACGAACGAACGCTTTAACCACTAGGCTACCCCACTTTCGCAATAGATCAAGAGGTACCAAACCAGGTACACCAGGAACATAGGGGCATGGTTTGAAGAATGCAAACGTAACATTTCAAAGGCGAGATCCGCAGATTTATCATGCTTTTCCTCAATCGTGCTAATCACATTGCTGTCAAAGGGACAGAAAATTCAATAACATAAATAACTCATTTATTATTTTATGAAAAGGACAAAATCATGTTTGTCCGGAGTTTTTCGTAGGTTGTAAATGGACTTATTCCAAAGACGTTTACAAGCTTCTTTTTCCATGACATTTTCAGGTTGGTAACATGGATGGACGGTATACCAAAGAGCCATGGCAGCGTGTCGTTTAAGGTACATTTGTATTCTGTTTGTGCCAAGGAAGGACACCCACTGACAATGTGTTGAACAGTCTCAGCGAATTCATTACGCAGTCGACATTTAATAACATTCTCTCTAAGAATCACAATTAGGTGATTACGAGTGGAAAAATGTCTAGCACTGGGCAGCAAAAGAAAGACCCCACCAGCCGATTTCATGACGGATGTAAGTCATCAGTCTTACCTTTATCCCGGCCGCCATGTGTTTCTCTGAAAGTGTAATACTGCTGGGCAATGTTGTAGTTTATGATTAGGTTGGCACCGCTGCCGGAGTTCTTCACGTTGACAATGTCACTGGCGTTGAAGTTGAAGGTATGACAGAGACCCTCGTCGGTGAACACAGGTAGGAAATTGCTTGAACAGTCGATACTCTCTCCTCCGAAAAAACACAGATGAAACAACGAAGAGGCATCCATCGACATGTTGGTCCACCAGTCTAACGACAACGGCTGCAGCATGATACCGTCATCAATATCGTCGAAATTATATATGTCGCTGGTCTTTTGTTGCAGGCTTGAGTCACGGAAATATGACTCAAGATCGGGGTAAGACGCAAGACGTGTCTTGTTGAGGGTGCATCTGTTGCAGATGGTGACGGCGGGAAATTCAATGGTGTTCCTGATCTTGTTTGTAACCTTAGTGGCGATAGGGTAGCTGTAGTAATCCCCAATCTCGCTCATCAGGTTGAAGATGAGGAACCCCGTAGCACCACATACAGCCAATGTCCAAAGTATTCTGAATATAGAAACATGGCGAGCTCATTATACATGTAGGGGTGGTGGGGTAGTCTAATGGTTAAAGCGTTCGCTCGTCACGCCGAAGACACACATGGGTACAATGTGTGAAGCCCATTTCTGGTGTCCCCTGTCGTGATATTGCTGGAAAATTGCTAAAAGCGGCGTAAAACTAAACTCATTCACTCATTATACATGGCGTTTTCTCCCGTAACACCTAACATAAGAGCATCACCCGCGTCCACCAACTACAGAGGCTTTACGAAGGTTGTCTGGTTTATCAGTCAGTGATCATAGCCTCTTGGCCAACCAACCCGTGAACTATGGTCTTCAGCAACCCATGCTGATGGTCAGAAGGGATCGGGTGGTCAGGCTCGCTGACTTGGTTGACACATGTCAACACCTCAGACTCTTAAGACAAGTATGGGTTGACGGAGAACAGTTCCAGTCCTGTTCTTCACGGGTTAGAGGTAATGAAGCCAAATCTATAAAAGCGTTTGCTCGTCATAACGAGGGCCACCTACCCGAACAATTAATCCGTCACAGGGTTAGAATTGGGAGATACCAGAATTTTACCGAATTGAATCAAGAGGTATTTCGTCAAGAAGGATGATTTTGTTCATGCACAAGGTCAAGGGCGCTCTTTACGGTAGCCACAAATATAAATTAATGCTTGACGCTGCATCAGATATCAATATTTTATTCATTAGGAATGACATGGCCTTTCTGGAAAGACGTATCTTTATTGGATTCAGTCTAATAAATATGTGTAAACTATCGGGGTGGATTAAGATCCGTTGTACAAAGCCATCTTAACGTTGTTATCATAAGTATATTTAAAAGAAGCATGTTAGTGCAGACACCGCTTTGCGAAACTGGGTCCGGTCCTGGAAGAGTTTGTTCAGCAGTAGGAGTCGCTGCTTAACAACAGAGGAAGAACACGTGCTACGTTTCACTAAATACACCCGACGACATAAATATACTAGGCGTCGTTAATAAAGGGTCAAATGATATATAGCACATGTAAAGAAAAGTTTCTAAAAAATGAGTGTCATCATAATGTTTAATGTGTTTACAAACGTGACACATTGAGACATACACACAAAAGTTCAAACAGCACCAGCAAACATCAACCAACCCCTCAAATGACAAACATGAAGCACTCAGTCATTCGATATCTTGTGTACCCTCCTCAATCGTCCAATCTTGACACAGGTGCACCTTGTTCTCATGCTCCTTATCAAGTTCATACAGAAAACTTGCGGAATCGCATTCCATTCCACTACTAGGCCTCTGTGGAGTCCTTGGAGATCCACTGATGCTGGGTGACGTGTGTACATCATAGGCATGCTCAATTGGGTTGAGGTCTGGCGAGCATGCCAGTCGTCTTGCAGTAAAGAGAGTTGACAGTAAAAGCCATACATAGCATGAAATCTGCCACAGTCTACCAATATCACTCTGACTCACATAAAAGCGGACAGCAACCTGCCGCTGAGTTTGACCAGATTCCCAAAGGCCTGTAGCATGATCCCTTTCAGCAAGTGTCAAAAACTTCTGATTCTAAGCTGCGATTTCAAACAGGTAAATGAACAGGGAACGACAGCGAAAAAGCATCAATGCATGTGTGTTGTCCTCCACTTTCCATGGATGGAGCGACATGCACGTGCAAATCATTGACATTAAGTGGCAGGTGGATTTCCATATTGATAATTTGAATAAATAATGTGCCATTTGTAACAGAATGTATCGAACGTCAAAGAACGTAACAATGACATTTCAACGGCCTGATGTGTTTTTCCATACTTTTTAAGAATGTTTGTAAAACATTCAGTTGTATATATTTCAAACCAAAACGAAGATTTTACAACTTTTATGAAATAGTGTTACCAATACCTTGACCCTTCATTAATGACGCCGAGGATATATGTGAATTCAGGTCTGGTACCTACCCTCGAAAGGTGAATCGACAAGTAGGTGTGGAGATCTTGTTGAATCCATGAATCGCGGTTGTTTGACAAAACTCCGTCCACAGGTCGCACAGTGTGTAGTTCGGAGGAGCAGCTTCCGCACCATTTGTCTCCGTTCCAGTCATCCCGTCTCCGCCCTTCGGCCTGCAAGCAGACGACAATATGGACGTCATTGTTTGGAGAATTAAAATTGAATTGTTTGTCTCCTGGGGTCAAGGGATTTCTGTATTGGATTGTAAGCGAATGCTGTATATAGCGCAATATTGATGAATTGTATTCTTGTGTGAACAATCCCTAGATTAGATCAATAAGTTCAGTTGATTTCTTTATTGCATGAAAGGTTATAGGCTCATATTAAACATTGACAAAGGGAATATTTAAAGGAGACAAATCCTATACCAGTACTGCTCAATTTTAATTCGTTATAACCGTAGTGTATTTACTAGAGATAGAAACAAAACATATTTAAAGAAATAGATGCGTCTAAACTAAATAATGGTGACTTGACAGTTGCATGAATGTTATATTTCATTACTCTTTAGTGTTTCCTAGTTTCTAAAGCCGGGTGACTATGACCACGTGGTATTAGATTTGGCTGTTTGTTTGTTGTTTAACGTCGCGCTCATCAATATTCAGCTATATTGCAGCGCTCTGTAAATAATTTAGTCCAGTGATCAACAGCATGAGCATCGATCTACGCAACTGAGCTACGATTACAAAGAAACTAACAAACTATCACATCAAATCAAAAAGTACAAATGATTTTCCCATTTACTACACATAAGTGTGAGTTCCATGGCGGTGGTCAGTAAATAATCGAGTTCGTACAAGACAATCCAGTGATCAACAGCATGAGCATCGACGATGACAGAAAAACAGACAAAGCATCACAGTAAACTAAAATGTACAAAATATGTGCTCCGTTAACTGCATAAGTGAGCGAAGGGGCGAAGGAGAGACTAGGTTAATTTTGCTGTTCACAATGTCTCCATATTTCCCAGACCAGCTCGCTCACCAGTTTTGAACCCTATTCTACACATGTGAGATCATCCACCACAGAACTGTCAACCACTGGAACCCGCACGATAGATTTCCAATGACGTTATGAGGCGGCTGATGACGTCAATGTGGTTGCGTGATCGGGCATGCTTTGCTACTCGTGGTGGTCACACTCACTACAGAGAAAGTATGGCATTTGTGAGCCAACTCAGACTGAACAAGACAATTACTGCTTCATTCTCATTATTACTGAATAGTGTGCTCCTTATGACGTGGGGCGGTTGGTAACCTAGTGGTTAAAGCGTCTGCTCTTCACGCTGAAGACCCGGGTTCGATTCCTCACATGAGTACAATTTCTGGTGTCATCCGCCGTGATATTGCTGGCATATTGCTAAATGCGGCGTAAACCCCAACTCACTTCTGTTGACGTTACAAGCAGATACCTGTCGAAACTCATTTGATATGATGCATGCAAAGAGTGAGTGAGTGAGTTGAGTTTTACGCCCCACTCAGCAATATTCCAGCTATATGGCGGCGGTCTGTAAATAATCGAGTCTGGACCAGACAATCCAGTGATCAACAGCATGAGCATCGATCTGCGCAATTGGGAACCGATGACATGTGTCAACCAAGTCAGCCAGCCTGACCACCCGATCCCGTTAGTCGCCCTTACGACAAGCATGGGTTGCTGAAGATCAATTCTAACCCGGACCCTCACTGGTTGCATGCAATGTACATCATACACACCACTATTGAATAATCCTTTCATAAAGCTACTATCAAACACTGGGTATATGTTTGCCCGCAGTTTATCTCCAGTTAAATCAATAATTTAATATATCGAACCCATGTGGTGATCAGCAATGATACATGTATGGCGTCACGACTGACATTTCTGGTCGAGTTCAGAAGATAAATTAGTTGTTAAAAGCAAGCAAAGCTATCCATATTGTCAAGACTATTGACGTACAGTCACATATATATCACAACGTTATTTTGACACTCATCGGGTACTGGTGCCATATGGACTCCAACGGGGAAAACACTGACACTGAATGTGCGAATTCATATGTGTGGTATTTTAGTGAATGAGCAAATTTTGTATACGAAAGCAGCCCCTGAAAGGTTGATATGCATGTCAATGTCAAGAGCCGTCGGCATGAACTATCCCATCCGCACCGTCGGCGCCAATCGACCTCTGTTACAAACATGAACCATTTTTTCACAATGCACAAACCCTGAACAAAGAACCGATCTAAATGATGACGTCTAAAAACAATACCCAACCCATGAAACAACAAATATGCAAATCTCAATGCTGCAATGGTCTTTCGACAGAGCTAACTCGGGTTCCCCAGCGGTATCCAAATTCAGCAGCCTTTGTTTAGATACAATCCCGATTTCAGACACTTTGAGCAAACATTTTATTGATTTGTCCGGCTGAAGAAGTACCACAGGGGGAGATAAAATGGTTAACTATTATGATGTATCTGTAAAGCTCAGTTTTGATTCATTAACTGCACTGATTGTCTCGGCAGTGATGCATGGTAGAACACTCATCAGGTGTGTGGTTTGAAGGGATTTAACTGCACTGGTTGTTTGGCTATTGATGTGTGTCTGCGTCATCTTTCTATGCTATGTCAGGCTAGGGCATTAGGGTTTGGGGCGGTGGGGTAGCCTTGTGGTTAAAGCGTTCGCTCGTCACGCCGAAGACCTGGTTTCGATTCCCCACATGGGTACAATGTGTGAAGCCCATTTCTGATGTTCCCAGCCGTGAAATTGCTGGAACATTGCTAAAAGCAGAGTAAAACCTTACTCACTCACTCATCAGTTTTGGTGACTGTGTTCTGCCATAACTGTTTCATGTAAAATATTTTTATTTAGTTTTTAGAACCAGGGGATGTTGTTGGCCAAGTGCAACTCATAAACATTTTTCTGACAATAATACTGCCGAATACCTCAATGATTGTTTTAATGAAAAAAACCTCAATCAGACAAATAGCGTATCCATGGACTTTAAATCGACGAGCAACGTGAAGGTGCGCGGTATTAGACTGAAGCTCCCATCTGTCAAATTGACAAACGTGTCGAACATGTTCCGGTACGATGGATAGAGGTGTTTTTTTTAACTTTTGCACTTCTTAAAGGCACTATATGACACCACACTTCTCTAAAAATAGATAACGTATTTCTCTCAATAATACTACCAACAGCCCCAAGGAAAGCTAACATATGATTTATTTTTAAAAAATACGTATTTAGATTACAATATCAAATTAAAAAGTTCGAATGAGTTAATACAACGTTGCATTAAATTGACTCTCGCGCCCTTTACCGACCGAAAATTATTTCAAGCGAACCATATAGAGTTATGTCACTTGAAGTTACTCTTTATGAATATCCTATAACTCAACTTGGGATTGAAACCAGTTCGGCAAACACCGACGACACCGCGTGCGACAGTTTTCGATGTACGGAGTAATTGTTTACATTCCATAAATTGCAAGTGTTTGGATGCTGTTCGCCTCGAAGTTTCAATTATCGATTTCAGGCAAGTCGTAAGATATAATAAGTCTTTTATTGCATCAATCCGAAACAAAAGTGAGTGCATATGCCCAAATATATATATAGGCCAAAATATTGTTAAACATGTGTGACATTGTGCCTTTAAGCCGAAAAACTGCATTGACTGGTTGCCGGGATATTTTTCTCGTATCTGTCATGCTTCTTGCACTTTCGTTTCAAAATTAAACTGCTTGGTTGAGTTTCTTCGACCACTTTAGCACACTCTTTATCCGTTTACCAATGGAAACATGAACAATATTTCTTTTGGCGAACACCTGGTGTAATCAATGAAAATCATAAACGCACGCTGATGATATAGTCGGAGTCATAACTCGAGAGATTCCTTTTTGAATTTCGTCATTAATATCCAATTACTCGACTTCCATTACTCCGTTTTGTTGCCATTATTATCCAGGTCTTTCTATTTTAAAATGCTACCTAACTCTCTTTCACAATCAATTCAATATTCATTATTGTATGAATTGTTACATTAAAACATTGGTATCTTCATGACATGTCAATACTGCATCACGCTTTTCTTTAAGACCGACTACTATCGACTCAGGAACAGCGCAAATTGAATCGGATGACGCTGTCACCTAAAATAATAGTTTATCTAATATTTGGCATCACTGGCAGTTAAATAAAGTCATTGTTTATTCTTCATCGCAGAAAAAAAAAAGACATGTCATACTTTTTCGAAATTATTGAAACAATATTCTGCACTGTTAATTTCGCCTCTGATGTTTTGTGTAACTGATCAAAGGTGAGCTTCTAAATAACGTTAGTATGACATTAAACTCACTAATCAATATGTGCTAAATATATGTCAAAATTTGGTGTTACGTGGGTAGATTAACTAAGTGGATATTATTTTACGCGTATAAACAAATTATGTTTATGACAAGGTCGCTCAGAGGTCAGGATATTTTAGCCAGAAATCGGTAATAGCAATAATAATAATAATAAAAGATCATCATTGCCTGAAAAGTGTTATCAAAAGTCCAAATCTAACATAGCTCCAGGGCTTGATGGCATTCAGAAACCGGTACTGGAAACTATGCCCCTGTGTCCAAACACCATTACTTCACTGGTTCAATTCTCTCACGGACACGGGTGATGTTCCACCATGGTTCTGCAAAGGTCTCACAGTACTCCTTCTCAAAAAGGAGACTTGACTGATCCCCAATATATGATGTTTGAATACACAATATAAAATCTTCACAGGGTGTTTGACAAACCTCGCGTCATCTTACTGCTCTTCTTAATGTTCTTCTAATTTATAGAGAGCAAAGGGGCGAGAAAGGGATGCTGGGGTGCAAGGATCAACTTCTTGAACAAAAAATGATTTTGGAAGAGGGAAGGGGGATATTCCAGGGGATTCCTTTAGTCCTTTGCTGTCTGTCTTTAACTCTTTTGAGCTTTCTGCTCAATAAAGAGGAGGGTTACCATCCCGGACCTCCTCAGCACAGATTCCCAACACCACTTACTCATATCCTTTACATGGATGACATCGAGCTCCTTGCCAAAGGAGATACCAATTTGAAAGAGCAGGTTCTCCTTGTGGAGTCCTATTCTAA